TCATGTCACCCTGCAACTTCCCTTAGGGGTGAACTGGAGAGTGAGGAGGGAACCAAGAGGGAGGGAGGGTCCCCCACTGGCTCTCTCCAAGGACTATGGGAAGCCAGGCGGCCATCTTGTTTCTCAAGACCCAAATCGAGCGTCCGGTTGGTGGCGGTTAGATTTTTCAGATTAGAGTGCAAAACTTTCTTGAAAACAGAGATAACCTCATCCCTGGATCAGAGAAGCATAAACCCAGGCATGCGGAAACACTCAATAGTTTTTATTTCATCCCTTTTATATAGACCGAGTTACTTTTCCATGGGGATTGTCCTTAGCAAAGCACAGAAATATTTTAAAAATTAGCAAGTTAGAGTTGGACAAAATCCATCAGAAAAGGACGCTACCTTCGGCATGTGGTATTTAAGCCTCAGGCCTTTTGCTGATGCTGTCTTCAAGGCTAAGTCTAGGACATACGATGATAAAACAAGGGGACCAGTATTTTAAGAAAGGACAACCCTAATCAAAACAGCTCCTAAGCAAGCCAGACATTGGTTCTGATGTTGGGGGAGCGCTGAGAAGAGTTTTGGTGATTCCTCTTCATTCATTCAGTGAATGTTTACTGGGGGTCTGGCACATCAGGCTGGGTGCTAGAAGTCAGGGATGCAGCTGCGGGCACGGTGACTTGGTGCTGCCTTGATGGGGCTTTGAGAAAAGGATGGCATAGATGTCACGCTGTGAGTGTGTCACGAGGAGCCACTATCTGTGGCCACGTGAGGGAACTGGACTTAGCCTTGGAGGAATTCGGGGAGGTTCTCAGGGGAGGGGATAGCTGACCTGAGGTCTGAGAAGGGGAAGCCGAGAGGGTGGGGACGAGGCTCTGCAGGCAGAGGGGAGCTGCACACATGTTACATCAGAGCAGGGGTGAAGCTGAAACTCCTCTTCCTTCCCAGCCATGTGGATGGGACTTTGGACTTCCCCACTGGGACATAAAATTCAGGGCTTTCCAGAGCTCTCCCTCCAAACACGAGGCCACAGGGGTCTTCTGTGTCTCCACTTCCTAGACAGTGGGGACAGCAAACGTTCAGTGACTTTCGGACTCCTATGAGGCTGGGTTTCATTTCTGGGTAAAATCAAGTCCACCCGGGACATGGGTGCTGACCCAGCGGGTGCCTAATCCTGGCCACATCATTTCAGTCAAGCCCAGACTTGGTGTTGACCCCGCATTTCCACTCACTCTCGGAGCCCACCAAGAAAATCCGGGCCTATCTCACCTCTGCTGCGCCTGGAGAGGGCAGGCCTACTGTTGTTCTCTGGTGTCTGTCGCCTTTGTAGGGCTCAGGCTGCCAAGACAGTCAGTCATGGAATGGCTGCTGCTCATGTGTGTCTTCAGTGAAAGGTGTCTATCTTCTCTTTAAATGAATCAATATGTGATGCTCAGAAAGCATTAGATATTTTATTTATTTGACAGAGATCACAAGTAGGCAGAGAGGAAGGCAGAGAAAGAGGGGGAAGCAGGCTCCCCGCTGAGCAGAGAGCCCGATGCGGGACTCGATCCCAGGACCCCGGGATCATGACCTGAGATGAAGGCAGAGGCTTAACCCACTGAACCACCCAGGTGCCCGCTCAGAAAGCATTAGAGCTGCCAGGAGCTCTGTGTAAGCCCTCTACGTTAGCTATTGCCATTCTTGTTGTCACTAGAATCTTCTTGTCACTAGAATATCTGCAGACTGAGAGTGTATCTTAATCATCCTTTTTTTCTTCTAGTCATAGAAAAGTGCCCAGTACACAGTGGGCACTCAATAAATATTTTTTGTTCCTTTTTTTTTAAGGATTTTATTTATTTATTTGACAGAGATAGCAAGGGAAGGGACACAAGCAAGGGGAGGGTCAGAGGGAGAAACAGGCTTCCCGCTGATCAGGGAGCCCCATGCAGGGCTTGATCCCAGGACCCTAGGATCATTACTTGAGCTGAGAGCAGACACTAATGACTGAGCCACCCAGGCATCCCCCACCCCCAATTTTTTTTAAGAGAGGGAAGGTGGGGGGTTGGCAGAGGGAGAGAAAGTCTTTTTTTTTTTTTTAAAAGATTTTATTTATTTGATGGAGAGATAGGGAGAGAGAGCGTAAGTAAGCAGAGCAGCAGGCAGAGGGAGAGAGAAGCAGGCTCTCTGCTAAGCAGGGAGCCCGATGCGGGGCTCGACCCCAGGACTGGAATCATGACCCGAGCTGAAGGCAGCTGCTTAACCAACTGAGCCACCCAGGCGCCCCGGGAGAGAAAGTCTTAACCAGGCTCCACACCCAGCCCTGAGGCTGATGCAGGGGCTGGAGCCTGAGATCCTGAGATCCTGATTCGAGGCCAATTTGAGTCAGATGCTTAACAGACTGAGCCACTAAGGCACCCCAATAAATACTTCCTTATAAATGTTTTAACTAAAACGTACTTAAAATGTTTAAGTCATTCAGTGCCCCGAATAAATTGTTGATACAGGACAGACAACATGACCAAGTTCAGAGCCCAGTCAGGGGAGGGGCAGATCAGGGGTTAAACTGGCTCCTCCATCGATTAGCCATGGGGCCTTGAACAAAGTGCTCCATGTCTCTGAGCCTCAGCTTCTTCATCTGTGAAATGGGAAGATAACGCTGCCCACACCACAGGCTGGCTGTGGGGATGAATGGAGAAGTGCACGTCAAGTGCTAAGCCCAGTGTAGCACATTCTAGATGTTCAACAATTATTCCTCATTACCACCACTGTTGGCAGAACTCAAGACTAAAAAGCATTCAGCGGTCAACCTTCACCTATATTTTAAAATCACATCCACATCTTAAGCAGCTTTTGTGGAGAAAAAAAAAAAATTCCTCTAGCGATGATTTCTAAACACATTTTCATAGGCGACTGGTAGGCACTTCTGGTCGGAAATCACTTCGCGGCTATATCCTGAACTGTTTTTTTTTTCCCCCATGGGCGGGAGGATGGACTCATTGCAGCTGCTTCCTCTGAAAGGTGACCTAACACAACCTGCACCCACTCTTGCCCCCGTGGAGACAATCCCCCTGAAGGCTCAAAGAGAAGCTGCCCTGATGGCCTCCACCGTTCACCCTTGGCACTTGGAGAAGGGGCTCTGCTGGCACGCGAGTACCCCCATCGCCAGAGGCTCACAGCCCTGCTACAGGCTGGCTCCTTCCTCCCATGTTGCAGAAGAAACATCTGATTCTTCAGAGTTTAAGGAACCTGCCCCGCGGCCGCACAACTAACAGGAAGCAAAGGTGGATTATGAACCCAGGTGAGGGCTGTCTATGCAGGCTGAAGTTCAGAAGCCCCTGAAGGAGGAAACAGCCTTTAAGTAAACAAAGTTCAGGGCCACATAGTCCACCAGAGCAATGACAAACTCAATACAAAGGTCGCCGGGGGTCCTGCCTTTTTTCACTTCCTCCAGGGATCTTCGAGCCCTGCACCTGCGGCCCCGGCCAGGCTGACAGCAGCTCCCCGCACACGGAGCCCAGACCGAGGCACTCTGGGCACCATCGCCTCCTTCCATCCTCGCAGCGACCCTCAGCCCGCGGTCACCACCGTTCCCATTTAACGGACAGGCACAGGGAGGCCCACAGCTGACAAACTGGGGCGCGGGGACCGGCGCTCAGACAGCCCTGGGGGCGCTCGCTGGCCAGCCCGGCGAGATCACGATCCCCTCCCGCCGGTCTCAATCCACGCCCCCTTTTCCAAATCCCGCGGCCAGCCTGGAAGGGAGGACCTGCGGAGCCGAGCAAGCGGTGCCCGGCCCTCTCCCCAAAGTGTCGGCGCAGGCCGGCCGAGGGGGGCGGCTCGGGGATTGGTGGTGGGAGGAGAGCCGGTCCGGCGGCGGGAGGGGCGCCGGGCTGGGTGGGAGGGAGGCGGCGGGCAGAGGCCGGGAAGGAGCGCGCGCCGCTCGGGCGGAAGGGGCGCGAGCGGAGGCGGGGGCCGAAGTTACCGTGTCAGCCGCGGCCGGGCGGCCCGAGCTGGCGTCCGTCTCGGTCTCTCCGCGGCGAGGGTCTGGGGCCGCCCCAGCGAAAGCGAAAGTAAAAGGCCGGGCGCGGCAGGAGGAGGAGTCGCGCGGGGCAGGGGCCCGGGCCCGGCTGGGCCACGGGCGCCGCCTCCCTCTCGCGCCGGTGCGCTCCCCGGAGTCGCTCGCGAGCCCAGCGCCGCCGCTCCACCGCGCGCCCGGTCCGGGGAGGGCGCCCCCTGCAGAACCGGTCGCCGGGTCTGCACCGTGGCGCGAGCGCGTCGCCCGGGAGGAAGGCGCGCTGGCGAAGTTGGCCGCGTCCCCGGAGAGCGCGCTGGGTGAAGTTTGCCTACAGCTCTACGACCCCGACGCCGCGCTCCCAGCCCCTGGGGGGAGCACCTTCTGCACCCCCAGCGGTGGTCGGAGTGATCCGGGAGCGCGCTCTGCAGACCGGCCGCGCGCACAGCCCCAGTCGCGCACGCGGAGGAGCGCGCTGCGGGGACTTCGCGGCGCTCGACGACGACCCGGCGCTGGCTAGGGGCGCCCCTCCTTCTCCTGCTGCTGCTGCTGCCCCCCGCGTGCACCTCCCCTCAGGCTTCCGCACCAGTACCCGGAACCCAGCCCCACAGCCAGAGGGCTTCTCCCCAGCCAGGCCCCCGACCCCAGTCTGTGCTCTTGGCGCCCCAACCCTGGGGAGGAGGGGTGCTCGGCGCCCGCAGAGGCTGAAGTTACCTTCTCCGGGGCCGGGCTTCTGGGGCCAGCCGTGGAGTCGAGGGTGGGTTTCCCGTGTCAGCTCTGGGGGCGCCTCGGTTCGTGCGAGGACGGTAGGCGAGTTCTCTCGTAGGCGAGTTCCCGCCTCGCAACTGGGCGAACTTGTCCGGAGGAAGCGCCAGAATCAGTCCCGCTGTATTTATTGAGCGCCCCCAAGTGTCAGCCGCTGGGCATGGGGCCCTGACTGTCCAACGTGGGAGGGACCCTGCACTTCCGCGCTCCCACCTCGCTCCCACCCCTACAGCCCCGCATAGGTGCACGGACGCGCGCGCACACACACACACACACACACACACGCACACGCACACACGCACCACTCACACTTTTGCCTTTCTTCACCCTTGGGCCTCCAACCGGCGCCTCCAAAGCCTTTCTCTCCCAGGCTCCTCAGGACCTCAACTAATTAACTCGGTCACACTGCCGTGTGATTTTGTGATTTTTGTGATTTTTATCGATACCAGAAATAATTGCTTTTAAAGAACTTTTTACACCTTGAATCTCTCATGGCTTGAGATCAGGCAAGAACCACATCTTGTCTTTGTGTTTGCGGACTTCACCCTGCGCCTCAGACTTCAGGATTGTCTCTAGAATCTCGCCAGGTAAGGACACTTCCTTGGTTTAAGGAAGACTGGCAGCAGGTAAGGGTCATAATTATAATTTATTATAAGGGCATATATAATTAATATAATTAATAATATAATAATAATATAATTATTATAAGGGCATAATTATAATTTATTAACTTCAGCAAAAATCTCTAATTCCTGAATATTTTAAACAGTTACACTATTTCCCATGTGACCAATGCAGTAGGCTGAAAGTTTGTGTCCACTGCACCCCCATTAATATGCTGAAACTTAATGCTCAAAGTGCTGGCATCTGACATCAGGAGTTATGGGTGGGGCCCTAGTGAGGAGGATTAGTGCCCTTATCTTAAAAAAGGCTGGACAGAGCTTTCTAGTCCCTTCTACCCTATGAGGACATAGGCAGAAGTTGCTGTCTGCATCCCCAAGGAGAGCTCTTACCACAATCTGGTTATGCTGGCACCCTAACCTTGGACTTCAAGCCTCCAGAACACTGAGAATTAAGTTCCTGGTGTTTATAAGCTACGTGGTCTGTAGTATTTTGTTAGAGCAGCCCACACAGATTAAGACAAATTGTGTTACTCTAGCATCTGTATTTCTGAAATGTGTGTGATAACAAAGTCTTGTAGACACTAAGATAATTTACTTTCTAAAGGAATTCAATTGCAAATCATTTAAGAAATGAAAAGTCCCTACAGTAAAGAAAATTCATTACTGATTTATACATTTAAGTTTGAAACACAGTGTTAGATTTTGGAAGGGGCCCTAACAACTAATCCCTGTGCTCATTTCGTAGATAAAGAATCTGAGACTCGGAGAAGTGGCCTGTATCACAAATTTGCTAGTGGCAGAACCAGGGTCAGGTTGCCTTTAAAAAAAAAAAAAAAAAAAAAAGAATTTTCTTTCTTGTCCTTTCCTGGAGAATCAGGCTCTTACAGAGGCTTCTCCAGTGCCCAGCTACTGCTATGCCTGGTAGCCAGCAGTACCCAGCAACACTGACATTCCTTCAGATGGTTTTATAGCAGAATTCTTCCCTTGAGATAACTTCCTATGAACAACTCTCTCTAGCACCCAGAGGGTAGACTTCCAGAAAGTTCTAGGGGACAGATTTCTAGGAGTTCCTCCAGCGTGACACCACAGTGACTTTTCTGCCATCTAGTGAGCCACAGACATTCTCTCTTCAGCAAGGTTTGGATCTTGGTCCTGAGGTGGGGAAAGAAGGCGGGTTCTGTATCTCCGCTCTAGGTAGGGGTAGCAGCATGTTATGTTATGTGTTGTTACATGTTGTTATAGGCCGCCCACCGTGGTAATTACTTCAGAATAAAACATTTGACTTTACTGGCTCACTCAAACCCTTGCTCCTGCCTTGTGGAAGCCCTCCCCAAATAAACTGTGCATCCAAGTCCTCACCTCAAGCTCTGGTTTTGGGAGAACCTAAGCTAAGGTAGACACGGCGTAGGAGGAACAGCTCCAGTTTAAGGAAAGTGACAGTGACAGAGCAAAGGGTATGGAGCTTTCTCCTCAGTCTGAATTTGTCATCTCTGCAATTTCAAAACCATTTCATATCCATGGCCCTGGAGGGCACTGGAAATGACTCAGAGCTAGGAAGAATTACCTCATATTCTGGGTGACAGAACCAAGGTACCAGAAACTCTAGACCAGCTGCAGCAATGGGGCCACCGTCAACGGGAGGAAATCGAAGAGATCAATCAGTGCTGTGTTTAAGTTCGAAAAAAAAATCAACCACCCACACATTGAACATGAGAGCCATTAATGTGAAACAAAATGTGAGGGTTTTTCACTGATCACAATCTCCCTATGAGTCAAGACTTAAAAAAAAAAAAAAAAGCCAAAGAAACATGAGGCAGCGTTGGCAGAAGCAACCAAACCAAGGACCAAGACTCTCCACCATCTGGCTTTGGCTTGTGACAACCAAGCCCAAGTCCCCAACGCTCTGTGGGCTGGACAGCATATCAGACATGTGTCAAGAGCCACTTCTGATCCACACAGCCTCACCTGTCTCAGGACCTCGGCCTGCCTGTGCTGGCCCAGGCTCAGCAGGGGTGGCAGGCTCTGTGTGGGCTTGCCATCTTCAATGGGGGCACGACCAACAGCATCTTTGGCCTTCTGTTGCCCTTGCTTTTTCCTTGTTGTTGTTGAGCCATAAGATGCTGTGGGATGCCCTGGGCATACCTGCAGCATAGACACGTAGGGGAGCTAACACCCAATGGGACAAAACTTTCACCAAACGGAGACAGGGGCCACAGATACGTTCTTCCCCCTTCCTTCCTGTTGCACATGTTCCCAAGGAGCACGGCTTGGAAGATGGTGCTCAAGCAGTCCAAGGCACCTCGCATCAGTTAGCAACTACTTTGACAATGAAGCTTCATACTCAGTGTCACCCCTCTATTTCCTGCCTCCTTGCTTCTGCTCCCTGGGACTACAGTGCTTAATAAAATCCTTGAATGTAAGCCTTTGCCTCACGTTCTGTTTTCTGGGGACTCCGGGCTAAGACCTATTGTCTGAATCAATCCCAAAGGCCACGCTGTTGTGTGCTCATGGGCTAAGGCTTGGATGGCTTGAGGTAGTCACCGTGGCAAGGGCAAGGGCTCAACCTGATGTGAGGTGGGGTGGGATGGACAAGGGAAAGCTGGCCCATGGTGCTGGCCAGGCAGACAAGGGCTGTGTGGTGCTTACCCCAGCAGTGAGTGGTCACCGAGTTTCTTATAGGGTCCATTTCCAGTTCACTGGGGTGGTTTCTCTGCATGCCTTCTGATACCTAATACCTGCCTTTTAAAAGCAGAAGTGATGGTACAAGTCAAATTCAACCTCTTCATTCTGGTAATTACGTTTTCAGGAGGGTGAGCCAGAAGCGACCACACACACCTTAGAGAAGTGTTAACATGGCTTTTACCTTAAATGAAATCTGACTGTGATTCCGCATCCCTCTGAATTGGGGCAGAAGCCTCTCTCAGTCGTTATGGGGCCTGCGGCCAGCCCACTTCCCAGGTCAGGCCTGAGAAGCCTGGTATAGAGCAGAATGTTCTGGGAAGGCTCCAAGTTTTTGTCCTTTGTTGTTCCCATCCGCTCAAGCTGCCCTGCACCACTTTCCAGAGTGGGAATCTTCCAGAGCCTGGAGTCTCTACCTAGGGTCCCCGTCGTGCTGAGAGAAAAGCCTTGGGCCCCACTCTCTATCCTTGGGAACCTCAGACCGCAGCCTCTCTTTCGGGCTTGTGTCATGTGAATGCTACTTTCTACTTTTCTTCACTTGCTTTGCAGCCTTCCCCATGGCCCTACAACACAAAGAAACTGCTGACATCTCTCCACCTGGGGACCCCCCAATGTCACCTCAGCTTTTAGACCAGAGGTCCCTAAGTGGTAGCCTACCCAGGTCTTAGACTCTCAGCTGCCCCTGGCCTGGTGTAATTCCTAGCGTCTCACAAAAGCACGGACTCTGATGTGTAAATGCAAGTATTTGGCTTCTCTGGCAAAGTCTCAGTATTTGGCAGGGCTGGGTACTGATTCCCTCATGACAAGTCGACTGGGACTGAGGAGTGGTTGCTGCCTCAGATGGGGTGTGTGGCCACCCGCTTGGGAAGGTCCCTAATATGATCTGTGACTTCACTTCTGGCTTCCGTAGGCATTTTGGTGAGAGTATTAAATTTGTTTCATTAATTCAGTAAGTACTTATTGAGCATCTCTTCTGTGTCAGGCCTTGTTCTAGGAACTAGAGATAGAGATGACAAAGACCAGGGATCCTGTTTTGATGGAATTTATATTTTGAAGGAGGAGACAGATAATTTTAAAAAGCAGAGATTCTAATATTCAGGATCTCAGGTGGCAGTTCACTGCAATTAAGAACATAAAACAGGGTAAGGGTCATGGGAGGTAGTTAGCTGAGGAATGGAACAGGTCAGGTGCCATCTTTTTTAAGCTGTTCCCAGAAGGCTGTTTTAATGTGACACTTAGTGGACACTGAAGACAATGGAGGGGCTAACAAAGCCAAGAGGAGAGGGTTTGTCTTCAAGCTGCCCCACTTCAGGCCCAGGAGGCAAGAGAGTAAACAATCAGAACTTGGAACAGTTCAGGATAACATAGGGGCCAAGACACTGAGTGTTCTAGCATGTTCCTAATTTTGCATTCTCGTAGAAGCTAAACAGAAATATCTTGATCAGTTTGCAGCCTCGCTTTAAACCATTAAAAATATTTTTTTAGATTTATTTATGTATTTGAGATAGATGTGAGGGGGAGGGACAAAGGGAGAGACTCTTTAGGCAGACAACCCCGCTGACTGTGGAGCCTAAGACGGGGCGGGGCTGCACCTCAGAACCCTGAGATCACGACCTGAGCCACAACCAAGAATTGGATGCTCAACCGACTGGGCCACCCAAGCGCCCTGTGTTGTAAACATTTTTAATAGATAAAGCCAAAATTTCAAATATGGTGTTTATCCTTTCCATGGATTGGATCAACCCTGTTTTATTTCTTATATTTTTGGGGAGCTGGCCTTTCTACTTTAGTCACAGGCCTCACAGAGTGAGCTTTTCTAAATTGGATTGTTGGATGAGTGTATGGCCTATCTCTTTGTATTCTTTTCTTGGGTTATGATCACAGTTCGTGTTAAACTACTACATGCTGCCTAGTCATACACGAGGATTTGGTCACCCACATAAACATGATGCTGTTGTGAGTTCATTTTTCTATTTAGAGAAGCATGTCAGCTAGAAATACCTCCACCTAATTTCCCGGGCGCATGCGTGCTGTGTGAGTCGCCAAAATAGCCCCTTGAGTAAGTGGCAGCTTTAAAAACCATCCAGCTGCTGACTTCAAACTAGAAGGTCAGCAAAGGAAAGTGGAAGTTGGATTTTGAATGATCAAGGTCCCCGCGGGGATTGAACTGTGGTCAGGATTTGGGAAACTTGCACAGCTAGCCTGGGACTTTTCCTTGGATTTCTTGCCTGTTGCCTAGATTTGTCTTCTCTCTTCGGATATCAAGATGGATGTGCAGGCTTGCTCTAGGTGTGGGTATGGAGTTTATCCTGCCGAGAAGATCAGCTGTCTAGATCAGGTCAGTGGACATTTCTCGGCCTTTGGAAATAATAACCAATATGGTAGATTTATCTTCTTACAGAGGGATATGTAGGGTTTTTTGAACCATCAAAAGAAGATGTATTTCTCATCTTTCTTCAGTTCTACTCATTTCTATCTCTGTCTTCTATGTTTCTTTAGGAAAAAAAAAGTTATTTATTCATTTAACATATTATAGTCATGTTTGTGTCTATGTGTGTGTACATTACCATTTTATCTCTAAGGATCCATTTTTACCTGGAAATGAATAAGAATCCTGAGTTTGGAAGAAAAGGTAATTTTGCCACATCTTCTCTATGATTTCTAGATCTGGCATAAAGCATGTTTTCACTGTGAAGTTTGCAAGATGATGTTATCGGTTAATAACTTCGTGAGTCACCAGAAAAAGCCATACTGTCACGCGTAAGTGTTTGGTGCCCGCCTCCACCACTTCTTGAGTTTTATTTATTTTTTAACAAGTAGCCAATCAGAGTTTCCAATCACACAGCCCAGAGTTAAATCCAAGAAATATCTTCCCCAAAGTTTTCATTTACATAAAATCACTGACGAGCCCTAAGGCAGGATTTTATGCAAAGGACAGAAAGTTGGAATTTTCAAATTTCTTCCAAGTAAAAAGTCAAATCTATCTGCTATAACCACATGTCAAATCATTAGTACTGTGCAGAACAGTGTAATTGCCATAGATATGCCTAAAGAGCTTTAATTTTTTTTCTTTAAAATAATTCCAGAATCCATTTCTATATTTTTTTTCCTGAAAGTTTTTAAGTGGCTGTTTCCAGTTAGATTTGGTCTTGTAGTAATATATACTAAATTTATTTGATTTCCTTTTTTTTTTCCTTTAAGACATTGCCTGGAAAGTCATAAACTTAATTATTAAGTTTTATATTTATCAACTTAAAAAATGACTATACCTTTAGGGATACTCAATCATCTTGGGTAAAAGTACATTTCTAATTTTGGTTTATGTCTATTTTTTCTAGCCATAACCCCAAGAACAACACTTTCACAAGTGTCTATCATACTCCATTAAATCTAAACGTGAGGAAGTCCCCAGAAGCCATCCATGGGGTAAGTGACTTAATTTTGAACTTCAAAATAGCCTTTGAAGAAAATTTCTTACCTCAGGTTTTTAAGTGTCTGTGTCAACATTGAACCTGCTCATGTTTTTCATTTAGAGGCGCAAAGTGCATTTAAGTAACAGATATTGCTCTTTGTCCTACCACAATGTAAGGTAGGACCCAAGATAATCCAGCTTAAATATCTGACGCCTTTGTAATCTCTGTCTGCCAGCTCTGTTCACATTGATGATGGTTTACCCGGCAGGCCCTGTACACAGTAGGTGCCTAATAACCCAAAAGTTTATATAGCTGGAACACATCACAAGAGCCTTTCCTTACTTTCTCCCATGATTATTTTGATATAGAAAATTAAAAACCTCTAGTTCCACACTCTTAAAATCTCTCTGAATTCAGGTGTTTACCATTACTAGCAGCTTCTCTTTCCCCTGGGGGCAGGGGTAGGTCAGAGATAATTTGATTTGGAAGTGATGTTCGGATAGACCAGGTAGCCTTGTTGATACACCAACCTCTTTTGAAAAACCAACAATGGGGTCTTGTCAAATAGCTAGGGATGGCTTGGATGCCTGCATTTATTAAGATGATGACTCATTTCACTTCTTTCCCCTGCCCCACGGAAGCTGCTCTGTGGGATGGAGCTAACAACTTTCTAAAATTAGAACATTGCACAGGAGGTGGAAGTCT